AAAATATGCTCATTTCCACTTGTGCGGGTATTGAATCCAGGTGTTCAGATGTGAGCCACTTGATCTTTAACTGCTATAAACTTTTAAAATACAGTCAATAAAACTTAAAACAATGGTGAAAAAAAATCCAGTACCAGCTTCTCAAAAAAAGTTTATTTTTTTAATACACTGTTCCAAGATTTTAAAGCAAAAAATAACTTACTAGCAAAAGCCCCTATGTTCAGGGCTTGGCCAAAGATACAGCTCTCAGGGGAGTATGTTCCTGTATCACTGATGTATGGAAAGTCTGGCTCAGTATGGTGCAGCAAAACTGATATGGTGTACCTGTTGCAAGTTATTAAATATGGTTAATGACTTATCAAACCATTACATTTATGCTGTGGAAAGAGTCTTTTAACCACAGAAATTAACTAGGAAGCTGATGCCATTCTAGGAATATTATTAACAAAATCACTATATAAATTATGAGGTTTCACAGGTTTTTACATACGTGATAATGAAGGTAGCAGGGAAGAGTACGAAGACCGTGAGAGGCAGAAGATACAGGTATGATGATCCCATTGCCAAGGATTGAAGAAGCAATCACTGGTATCAGATCTCAACAATAAATACTGCTCAGAGATAAAAAAAATATATAAAAAAATATAAATACAATGGTACATAGTCAATACACATAAAATTGAATACCATTCATAAAACTGAAATACTGCACTGTAAAAAAAAATCTGTAATGCAAGAGCTGAGGCATTGTTTTTGTCTGGCATCCATCCCTTATTATTTCTTACAGGCTATAAAAGAGTTTTCAAATGCAACATATGCATGGAAAGATGCTGAAAAAACTGTTTACAACATAAATTGTCTTCACAACTCAAAAAAGTGGATCAGATGGAAAAGTCCAAAGAAGAGGTACAAAGTGTAACCTAGAGCTAAAACAAAATATGAGTTATAATGAAAGGCTGAAAACACAAGCTGCCCAAGCTGGCTGACAGGAAGAAGGGAAGATATGATAACAACAAACTATATAAGGTTATACTGTAAAAGAATATGAAATAGATTAAGTTCTTAGAATCATCAACGGTCAAAATCAAAGAAAATTTAATGTCCTAGAATTGCAATACTGAGTCAGCTCTGGGATTACATCTTTTTGTAAATTCTAAGGAAAAGTACGTGGAAAAAAAATTATAAAATGTAATTTAAGTTCTATGTGAAATTCAGTGTGAATAAAGCCAATACATAATATAATGAATTAGATTTCAATGAAGAAGCAGCAATTACATAAGGTAGGGGTATAAGATACAAATGAAAAATGTTTATGATTGTTATATATTAATATTCCATCAAATCTGAGTGATGTTTTTAGACAATGACAACATTTTGAAGGTATTGTTTGTTTAAATATGAGAGAGCCTTCAGAAAGCTGTTGCAAATTTTGGGTTTTTTAATTTGAATAGAGTGTTTGTTTGTTTGTTTGTTTATATATAATATAACACACACACACACACACACACACACACACACACACACACACACACACACACACACAGGTGGAGTACACCACCAAGTGTTGGACACAATACATACAACCGAGGAAGAAGTGAAGAGGCTTCAGAGCGAGCTAGACACCTCAAAGGTGATGGGGCCAGATAACATCTCTCCATGGTCCTGAGATGGGTGCAGAGGTGCTATGTGTACCCCTAACAACAATATTCAACACATCTATCGAAACAGAGAGATTACCTGAGGTATGGAAGACAGCAAATGTAGTCCAGTTTTTAAAAAATGGGACAGACAAGAAGCACTAAACTATAGACCAGTGTCAACTGACTTGTATAGTATGCAAAGTCATGAGGAAGATTATCAGGAGAAGAGTGGTGGAACACTAGAAAGAAATGAGCTTATCAACAACAGCCAACACAATTTCAGGGATGGGAAAATCCTGTATCACAAACCTACTGGAGTTCTATGACATTTACCTGGAGTTTACCTGGAGAGAGTTCTGGGGGTCAACGCCCCCGCGGCCCGGTCTGTGACCAGGCCCCCTGGGGGATCAGAGCCTATCAACCAGGCTTTTCTGCTGGCTGCACTCAAACCACTACGAGCCACAGCCCGGCGATCGGGAAGTGACCATGGGCCCCAAGAAGCTTCTATGCCACCCTACAGCAATAAGGGTTGAGAATTACTATAGAGATGAAGATAATGAGATCATTGATAAGTATGAAAAGTGGAAGGTGCGTGTCCGCCGACCTGGGGGCCAGGTTCGTACAAATGAAACCCAAATAACCATACGCTACTATTGTGGGCAACAGAAAGGGCAATAAGGAAGCTGTTCTTGCAAAGGTTTAACTGGTTTTCGAACAGAGATCGCAGTGATGGAGTATGTTGAGAGACTCTTTTTGGTTGTGGATAAATGAAAAACAGCTAGCGGGGAGCTAGCGTCTCTCAAAGCGTCATAAGCGAAAAGGCTAGGAAGTTGCATGAGGATTTAATTAAAAAAATGCCTGCAACTAGTGATGATGTGATGTGAATATAAGGCCAGCAAAGGTTGGTTTGAGAGATTTATTAAGAAGTGTAGTTGCATACATAGTGTGATAAGGCATGGTGAGGCTGCCAGGTTCGGACCACAAAAGCAGCTGAAAATATGTGCAGTGGAATTCAAGGAGTACATAGACAGTGAAGGACTGAAAACATGAACAAGTGTTTAATTGTGATGAAACAGGCCTGTTTTGGAAAGAAAAATGCCATGCAGGACCTAATTACTGGGAGGAAAAGGCACTCCAGGACATAAGCCTATGAAGACCAGGCTTACTTTGTTGATGTGTTCCAATGCTACTGGTGATTGCAAAGTGAGCCTTTATTGTGTATCACTCTGAGACTCCCAGTACCGTTCAGGCAAAAGAATGTCCCAAGGAGAATTTGTGTGTGCTGTGTGAGGGCAAACAGTAAGGCATGGGGTCATAGGGAACTTTTTCTATGAATGGTTTACACCATGCATTTTGCCCCCAATGTGAATAGATTAACCTAACTCTGAAAAGAGAAAATTAGACCTTAAGTGCCCTCTGTTGGTGTTTAGACAATGCCCTGGTCATCTACAGACGTGGCCAGAGCGACTTTATGGGGGAGGACATGAAATTCATTAGGTGAAGTTTTTGGCCTCCTAATACCACTCCTCTTCCTGCAGCCCATGGACCAGCAGGTTATTAGAAACTTCAAAAAACTGTACACAAAAGCTCTGTTTGAAGGTTGCTTTGTAGTGAACCTCAGAACTCACGACTCTGACTCTAAGAGAGTTTTGGGAGAGAGCACTTTAATATCGTCAATTGGTGTGGTAAACCTTTAGGGAAGCTTGGGAGGGAGTGGACTAGAAGACCTTGAACTCTGATTGGAGAAGAATACTGTGGGCCAGAATGTGTAGACAAAAGGGATTTTGAAGGGTTTGAGGCTAACCCATGAGGAGGATTAGCAGTTGAGCGTAATCCTTTGTGGCATTGGGAAAGTCCTTGGGGTTGGAGGTTAGTGGGAGGATGTGGAAGAGTGGTGGAGGAGGACAATGAAGAACTAACACTGATGAGCTGATAGATCAACTTCAACAGCAAGAGGCCAGCCCTGAGGAAAAACTGGTTCAGAGGAGGGGAGAGAGAAATTGAAGAAGTTGCCTACTAACAAAGATTAAGGAAATTGTTGCAAAGTGGCTTGATGTTGCTAAACCTTCATGGATGAAAAATCACCCCTCACACCAGCCTATTGCAGCCGTGTTGGCAACTGTACACTGACAATGTTGTAAACATTTAGGGAAGTCATAAAGGAACGAGAGGTACCAGGCCCACTATGGACAGATATAAGTGCGAAAGAAGTCCAGTGACTCTGAAGCTGGTCCTAGTGGCCATTTAAGAAGAATGGGAAGTAACCCCAGCAAGGATCGACACCTCAAGTCCTTAATGGAAGGGGATTCCCCTATAAAAAACTAACCACTCTCTCTCCCTCCTCCATCCATCAAATCATCACCAGATCCTTCAATAAATGTAAGTGTCATGTAATTGTGCATGCTTTTTCAGTTTGTATGTGTATTAAAAATAAACATTTCATGTGGTAAAAATTTTTTTTTTTCATACTTTTGGGTGTTTGCCCAGGATTAATTTGATTTCCATTATTTCTTATGGGGAAAATTCATTCGCACCATACGATCATTTCGCATAGAATGATCCCTCTTGACGGAATTTAAAGTCGCTTTGACGGGGTCCACTGTATTGCTTTAAATATAGTTCAATTGAAATTGTTATTGTAAGTCCTTGACACATATGGGCTTTGTAAAATTTTCTATGTATGTTCATGATCCAAAATTTTCCACTACAAATCTTGCATAATATTTACACCACCACATTGCCCTTAAGGACACAAAATCTCCAATGCCTCCAGGCCTCCTCCTCGCTGCAGGCATTCCAACCTATGTTCCACCCATATCAATAGTGTTGGTTACACTATACTCGTCATCCTTTCTTTGCCTCCCATGGATAATGTTTTTTGTCTCTTAGATACCTCAAGCACCACTCGCTTTTTTTCCTTCATCACTCTGTGGTTAACCTCATCCTTCATAAACTCATCCGCTGAAAAGTACTCCTAAATTATCTGAACACATTCACTTCCATACTCCCTCCAATGTAGTACAGTATCTTGTTTTTCTTTACCGAACTATTGGAACCTTATCAACCTTACTTTTACTAGATTCACTTTTAAAATTTATTACCACATTTCCCAAAACCCATCCACTAACCTTTGCAACGTATGTCTTTAGTATCACCCAAAAGCACATTATCATCAGTCAAAAAGTAACTGTGGACCACTCCTATTTTTGTATTTGATTCCCTAATTTAATCCCACCCCTCTCCCGCACCCTTTATTAACATCCTTTTTAAACCAACTCTATCTATAAATATGTTAAAACCAACCATGGTGACATTACACATCCCTGTCTAAGGGCCTGCTTTACTGGAAAGTAGTCTCCCTTTCTCTCCTACACACCCTAACCTGAGCTACTATCCTCATAAAAACTCTTTACAGCATGTAGTAACTTCCTATTTCATACAACTTGCAACATCTGCCACATTACTTTCCTATCCACCCTATCATATGCATTTTCCAAATCCATAATGCAAAGAAAATTCCTTACATTTATCTAATAGTGTTTAAATATATGCTTCTATGCTAAACACTTGATCGATACATTCCCATATCCATTCCAAAGGCTCTTGTTCATCTGCAGTCCTGCTCTTCTGTCTTACCTCTAATTCTTTTCAATATAACCCTTCCATTCCACTTTAACCTGGTATTTGGAGAAATTACTACTACAGTGGACCCCCAGTTAGCGATATTAATCCGTTCAGAGAGCTTTCCTAAACCGATTTTATCGTTATCCGAATTAATTTTCCCATAAGAAATAATGGAAAATCCAATTAATCCGTTTGAGCACCCAAAAGTATTAAAAACTAATAATTTTTTTTACCATGAAATATACATTTATCCTACACAGAAACAACAATGAATACATGAGAATAAAACAAGAATAACATCACACTTACCTTTATTGAAAGACTTGGTTGATGTATGGAAAGACGGGAGGAGGGGAGGGATGGAGAAGTTTACAATTGTTTGGAAGGGTAATCACACTACCCCCCCATGAGGACTTCAGGTACCAAGTCTTTATCCTGGGTTACTTCCCTCTTTGTTTTTTTAATGTCACTAGGGACTATCTTGAGAGCCACTGGACCCCTGTCGCTCAAAAAAGTATTCCATAGAGGTATGTGTCTGGCGTATGTACAGGAAATTGCGTTGGGAGACACAAGATTAGTCCTCTTCAATATGACCTAATATAGCTCCTACGTGCCTTATTTATCTAGCACCAATTCATCTAATATGACATAATAAACAATATTAATAACATATGCACAATTGACATTACACTCTAGATTGAATAAAATACCGTTATAAGTATGTCATGAGTGTTTGCTGTGTTGTTGTTGTTGGGTGTATAAGGGCCACCACTGAGAGCATAAAACCGTACATGTGTGGTGGTGGAAGGAGGGGTGGTGGGGGGGTGGGGGGGGGGGCGGCCCAGCAGAGGGTAGAGACGGCGGTTGTGTCAGTTCACCCTACATAACCCAACAACAATGGAGGAGTTTTAGATTAGTGCTGTCTTTTTTCTATCGATTAATCGCTTTAACTTGATCACTGTTAATGTACACTTTATTGCTGGCTGCTGCTATAGCTTTATAGACTCGTTGCTGCTTTAGTATCGTACATATTGCAGAATCACTGAAAAAGGCACCATTCTCCCCTCTCAGCCTTTACCAAAAGGGCTGGCTGGCACTCAGAAGCTTTCTTTGGGCCCATAGTGATATTTAGCAGTTAGAAAGCACTA